GTGAGGATTAAGGTGTAGATAATGGATGGATGTTTTTGGACTGTGGGAGGAAGCCAGAGAGAACCCACGCTGCAGAGGGAGAATATGCAAACTCCACGCAGAAAGACACGAGGCCCACTGTGTTCTTTTCAAAATTTCAAAATGAAGTTACACAGAATGTTGCGGCTTTTCAGCAAAACTGTCTTTTGCAATGTGTGAATAGTACTGACTGTGGCATGGACAGAAAAATATAAAGGATTAAATTTAATATAGAAATATTTAATCAACCCGTCCTACTTTGCCTAGAAGAAACACTGCCAACGACCCAATAATTTAGCTTCACGTTTGTCTTAGTTAAAAAAACCTCAATATCAAATGAAAAAATGAATACAGACACAGAACACAAGGTCACCTGAGGTATCCCTGCAGCAGCAAGCGAACAATCACGGTTTCAGCCTGGTGCCGAGGCAGCGTAGTGGTTTGGATCATCTTGCGGCGCTTGGCTGGGCCTTTCCCCATCCACGCCTCCACCAGCTTCAGGGGGGTCAGCTTCTCATCCATGGATGTTGCCAGCTCCACGATCTGCACCACTTGCCTGGCGTACTCTGTAATGTCCACGTTGGTGTAATCTAGAAGTGTAGCGGTCAGAAGATCACCAGCTCCAGTTTACACAATGTGACCTACATGGTTCACACATGCAGCCAGGAATGTTATTAAACTCACATACACACCCACACCTTTTGAATGGCGGCATGCATCGCACATCTGGTTGCATCCTTCATCGTCCCACACCTCGTCAAAGTGAACAGCCATGAGGGAGCGTCGACACCTTCACACAGCAGACATGAGAGTCTAGACACATTCAGGTTGTGCTGTTTAAGCCACAGTCACCGTCACTGTGCGTTACCTGTCAACGTTCTGGCAGTAGTCGACCATCTGCAGCAGCTTCTGTTGACCAACATTCTCCATTACCACCATGGTGCTGATCCTGAAGACATCAGCGAAGCCAAAATAGACGATGCAGTCTGCTGGACGATCGTCTCGACCTGAACATACCAGACAGGAAAAGACATAAAATGACTTTTTTTTTGCTATCAATACAAGAGCAGTGTTACTCATAGTGTTGGTATTCAGATTGGAGAGAAAGGTTAAGGTGTCTACCTGCACGTCCACTCTCTTGGTAGTAGTTCTCGATGGACTTGCTGATGGTGTGGTGGATAACAAACCGGACATCAGGCTTGTCGATGCCCATGCCAAATGCCACTGTGGCTACCACCACCTAGACGACAACACACTGGCGTACTGTCACATGTTCAGATATGACATCTGGCAGGTCACTGGATGAGCCGTCTGTCTATCACCATGGATCATGGCCTAACTTAAACTTTCGTCACACCTAAAGCACACATGTAGCTGTCAGCAGTTCCTCGTCAGGCTCGGCTTCATCCTGTGTGTTTAGGTACTGAGTGATTTTGTAAATTCTATGAGAATCCAGCTGCCTCTCAAGATGAAGCCGCGTGTGCAGCCCATCGGTATTTTTGGCGGAGCTTCTAGCTCCAGTTTGTATCTTCTTTATACCATTGACAGGAAATGATCCATTTCTGTTAAACTGGAAAAATAACTCACCTAGATTAATCTGGGTTTGTTTTTTTGTTTTTTAAATTGAGAGTGAATCAAAATATTTTCTAATTTCAGGTCTTCCAGTGGGTTTTCCTCTTTTTATATTGTGTAAAATAAATACTTTAGAGCTTTGGTCTGCTAGTCAGAGAAAACAAGCTATTTGTAAATGACGCCTTGGTCACCCCGTAATCAACATTTTTATAAGCTTAATTAAATTCCCACATTAGAAATCCCAGCGTTTGCGCTCATTCAGTACCTGGATTTTGTTGGAGGTCCATTTGCGGTGAACTCGGGACTTGTCATCAGGGTCCATGTTAGCGTGGTAGGGGTACGCCTGGATGTCTCGCTTCTGGAGTTCAGCTGCCACTGATTCTGCATCCTTCTGAGAGAACACATACACGATCCCTGTGGCACACACACGTCAGGAAATATGACTGCTTTGTGTAAACATGTGCATTCAAATGATCTATTTAGGCACTTCTCAAAACACACTTTATGTACACATTATGTGCATTTCATTCTGTGACACAGCAGTCTCTTGTCATAGTACCTGACTGGTCCTTGTATCTGCTCTTGATCAGAGAAGTAATGTCGCTTATTGATGCATCGTTGTCAGAATCTTTAATACGAACCTGAGGGATAAAAACGGTTACAGGTATGAGTGAGTATTCAGACATAGAGATCCACGTACAAGTTTCTTAGATTTTTTTTTTTTCACTTGTCAAGCAAGTTGCAACGAAGCATTATCTTTAATAATGTCCTCCAAAAGCAGCTCTTGGTATTAATGTTAAATCACAAGAGGTAAGTGAGAGCAGGTTGTGTTGTTTTCTCCAGTTTGACCTCATGGTGATGCTGTAGTCTTGCTGTTAATATGGACAAATACAGACCCAATGCAGAATACGCCTGTTTACATTACTGTCAACTCAACATGGTGGTGATGATCTGATTTCAACATAAGCTCAGATTTGAGAGCTCAGATTTGCGGCTGAAGATGGAACCGGTCTCCCTCAGAGGACTACACATCCACTCCAACCACTTCAGAGCTCGGCAGCCGACCAAGACCAGACAGAGAGCCGACATTAAACTGATTTTAAAGTCTCTGCACTGGTTACCTGTCTTTGTTAGACTTGATTTTAGGATGCTTTTATTAGTTTATACAGTTCTTAATGGTCTTGGTCCTTCATACGTGAACCTTATGGAACCCTCAGGTCTTCTGGTTGTGGCTTTATAATTAAACCTAAACCCAGAACAGAAACATACAGTGAAGCAGCATTTTCTTGACCTCTTTTATTTATGACTCTTCTTAGAACGAACTGGATTTATTATTTCTCTATTTACTTACCTATGTACATATTTTAGTCTATTTAATGTACACTTTATTATTATTTCATTTTTATCACATCTTATTTACTTTTTAAATGTATATAAATCAAATTTATTTATTTGCTATATCTATCGCCATTTCAATGATAGATATTTTAGCACATTTATTTTATTGGAATTATTTATCTAGCTTATTTTATCCTCGTTTTCCTGAATCTCTAGAATAGAACAATACACCAGGTTCAAATAAATCAAATTTACATTTAGGGTAATCCTATATGTGATGCACTGGTCTTCATTTGCATTCTTGTAAATGTATTTATAATTGAGGTTTAACTCTTCAGTCTTACAAAGGAGCAGCACTGACACTGACTGGTATTCATCTTTTTGTTTTGTTATTGACTGCATTGACTGGCAGAATAATGGCCAATGAGCCACTGGATGTTTACATTTTTCAGAAAAAATACAACTTACCTGCCTCAAAAAACTGTCTCTAAATGTGACTTTGTGCAGTTCTCTGATGTACCTGTCCATGAGTTTTGCGTACTCGTAGATAATGGCAAACAGACAAGCAATGAAGCTAATGGCTAGCAGACAGATGCATAATCAACTTAAAACTAAACTAAACTAAAGCGAAGAGATGCCACGATGCTGCTTTGACCTGCACGTTGCACAAGCTGACACAGAGCAGTGCAACGCTCGCTCCAGCAGGTGTGCAGGTGTGTGCTCAGCATGTGTTTGATGCGTGTACATGGCTGAGTGTGGTGGTCAGACCTACCTCATAGTACAGATTAGTTCGATTGAAGGAGGCAGTCAGTGTGACTGGCTTTGACACACACAGGATCTTCTCGCAGTCCTTGAGGACGCTGCTGGTTGCTGTGGCTGTGAGGCCGAGCAGAGGGACTTTGGAGAACTGCCTCTTGAGGATGCCCAGCAGCTTATAATCTACCAGATGCACACACATACACATATACTCAGCACATCAGTCGGGCAACCTTTGACATCAGCTTGTTTTTGCTTAGACCAATCGGAGGTGTGGTTGTGAAGCCCCTCACCTGGCCTGAAGTCATGACCCCACTGGCTGCAGCAGTGCACCTCGTCCACAGCGATGCGACTGAGCAGGTTTGCATTGTAGGCTTTCTCCAGACGAGACATTAGCAGCTTGCTCTTGGCAATCTTCTCTGGAGTCACGTAAAGCAGCTTGAAAGGGGTCTTTGGATCAATCATTCCAGCCATGACTGTCTTTGCGTGCTCCTGTAACCACATTTTTAAAAAAAGAATTAAAAAAAAAAAATGATTAAAAGAATCTGTCAAAACCACTTTTTTATAATATGACACCTGAAAATTCTTCCCCTAAAATAGTCTAACATAAAAACAGATGCTTGGGATTATCAGCATAGAGGGTGTGTTTGCCTTTGATTTGTGCTTCATCAGAGATTATACAATCCAACGCTCTGGTTTAGATGACGGTACAACAGTGGTAGATGAAAGCATTGAAGAGCCACTCAGCCACAGATTTTGGCTCATTACCGTCTCATATATCCAATAAGAGAAAGAACCATGACATAAACATGGCAGTTTGTGTTGTACAGTAAAAATGAGGATCCCTTATAATGACCTGTGAATCATTTAAGAAGCAATTAGGCAGCTGTGGACAGTATGGCAATATTCAAACACAGTTTAATTCAAATTCACACACACACACACACACACACACACACTTCAGAGTCCATTTGAGAGTCAGAAGCAAAGTAAAATAAGTCCCGTGAGGCGCTGGACCCGCAGCCTGACATCAGCACAGTGGTGACCAAGTTAAAGTGACCTGCACTGTGCATCAGCAACACTTATATCACACCGTCTACGTTTTAGTACAACTATGTTTGACAAAGACAGTAAAACACTGCTGACATGTTATCTGTATTGTGAAATGACCTCAACAGGTTGAAGATTCTCAGTCATCCAGGTCATGGAGTTTTCAGTCTTAAGAACTCTTCCCAGGAAGATGAAACCACATCCACACTGAGCCACAGAAGACCTTAACAAACCCCACTGTGACAGGGGGAGCACTAACGACTTTTATAATGAGGGGGAGGAGCAACAAACCCCCGACTGGAACCCAAACTCAGGTGTTAATGTCTCCTTCAGGATATCAGTATGTGGAACTCCCAACTAGTCAGTCAGAGCTGATGAAGCCTCTTGGATGAAGGTGGAACGTCTTCAAGGAACTCAAGCAGGTCCAGTTGCTACGATTAATCTACCAGAACACCTTAGCGGTGCTCAAAGCGCTTTACTGTGTTTCTCATTCACTCATGCATTCATACACCGATGGTGACAGAGCTGCCATGCAAGGTGCTGCCTGTCATCTGGAGCAACTTCAGCTTCACTGTCTTGCCCGAGGACAGCTCAGGGATTGAACCACCATCTTTGCTATTAGTGGACAACCCGCTGCATCATCTGAGCCACAGCTGCCCTCGGAGTAATCTCAGGAGCTTCAGTAAAAAGAAACTGGACTTCTCTTTTAATTTCTTGAAACTGTCTGAGAAGCCTCTTGGACGAGGAGTAAAATGTCTTCAGAGGTCTAATGGTGATGTCCAGTTGGTTGTCTGAAGCTCGTAGGAACTGAAAGGTAACCTTCAGCGAAATAACAAGTAGAATGTTACTGTCAGTCATTACCTTGCTACTGGATGCATTCAGCATGACAGCCGACACCTCAATGGACTTCAGGTACATGATCTGATCTTCCATCAGGGACACCAGGGGAGTGACGACCAGCGTAAACCCTGACACATGATTACAGTAGGACAGATGAGTCGAATGTGTATGTGCACAAAGAATAAACAGAAGCACTCTGCGTACTGTGGAAGTGGCCTGGGCTTTGTGCCAACAGGATGTACTTGTGTCTAACTGTACCCTTGGAGCAGACTGCAGGCAGCTGGTAACAGAGACTCTTTCCTCTTCCTGTAGGCATCACCAGGAACAGATCCCGGCCTGTCAGGCTCAGGTTGATAGCTCTCAGCTGCAGCGGTCGGAACTTGGAGAGATGGAACGAGTCCTTCAGGTGCTGCTCAACCTCTCTGGACCATGCAAAATCTAACACACACGAGGAGTTAACGCTGGTCAGCACAACTCAAATTACATTTTCAGGCTATTTTTGAAATGAAAAGAAGCAAATAGTGTCAAGCAGCAAACAAACACTAAAACTAACAAGAGCTAGTGATTGAGCCATGTCCTCCAGTACCTGTGCCATCATAGCGCTGCAGCTCTTGCTTGCTCATTACTACATCAGCTCCAGACGACTTTGACGAAGACGAGGACGAAGAGGATGACGGCTGTGCAGCATCACAGGCCTCCTCCAGATGCTGCAGCAGTGCATTTTTCCGAGATGTCAGCTCAGTCTGCTTCTGCAGGAGCTCTGCAATCTGCAGTTCCACCACCTCCAGCTCAGCCTCAACAGAGTCCAACTCTGCCTGGACATCTGACCAGAAGCACCAGAAATATGTCAGCAAGTTAAATAAATAAATAAGTAAGTAAGTCAGTAAAAGTAAAAGTAAAAGTAAAAGTAAAAGTAAAAGCAAAAGTAAAAGCAAAAGCAAAAGCAAAACAAATAATAACTACATAAAAAATAACAAACACATAAAAATAAATACATTTTATTATTTTATTTATTTGTCTTTATATTTCTCTTTTTTTAAGACTTTTCTTTTTATGGATTCATTTTGGATTAATATTGCTTCATTTGCCACATTATTTATTTTTTTATTTTATTTATTCTTCTTTTTATTTCCACTTTTATTTTATTATTCTTTCATTGATTTATTTTTGTAATTTGGCGCTCTCACTACTCCGTACATTTTAACGTATTGCTCTATATATTGGATAATTAACTAATTCCAGACTCGTACTGATGTCAATATGGATTTTTTTAATGATGGTAAGACTCTCTTCTGACAATGCAAACACCAGAGGTTAAATACTGCTACTGTTCCTTCCTATCAGTTTTTTTTCCATTTGGGTACACAATATGTCATTAAATTACACTCTGGGTTTACAGTCAAAATTTGGGTGAAAGTGGAATTTAAACGGTAAAAATTACTTTGAAATTTTAAATGTTGTATTGAAATGTCAAACGTTGGCACTTCAAAACCAAATGAGTTTCTTTAAGTTGTTGGAAACTGGCCGTCTGATGCCAACAGGCCACGGTTACTGCACATGCAGGTTCTAGGTCGTCTCGGGAAAGGAGACTAAAATATATTGGCACAACACAATTTGTTGCAGGAACCCAGTCGTAGTCCTGAAAGCACACTGGCTTCATGATAGGGATCTATGCAGTCAGTTTCTGGAGCAGTCTATCTATCTATGAACGTATGTATGAACAGCTGTAGAATCATTTCCATTCATTTGTAAAGACCATGAATATCACGGTGGTATTGATTTTCAATGATTCCTATAATGTTTATATTTCTGTGATGGAATCATTGAAACACGTCATTAATTTACCTTACATTCACTTCATATAATGTGTCTGACAATATTTACTTTGATGAGTGATGAGACAGTTTCATGTTTCTCAGCAGCTATATTGCAGCTACATGACTGTGTGTCCAACAAGACCTAATCAGAAATGATGAGGTCAACTCCAGGACCTTAATTCTGATATGATGTGTTGTATCTGTAACAGACATGATTTTACAGTATTTATCCCACTGCCATAACCCTACTGAACAGCTGAGCCACAACTGCTATTTGCACTAATGTACATATACCATTTTCTACTAGATGTGTAAATACTTGTATATATTTGTCTTAATATCTTGTTTTATTTTTTATTAATATTTATTGTATTTTATTCTTTTCTTTCTTTAGTTATTTTACTTTATTTTATTTTTTAATTTTCCTATTTCTATTATTCGTGCAAACTCCCAGGGCGACACCAACAGCCGAAACCAAATTCCTTGTATGTTGTGTACGTACTTGGCCATTAAAGCTGATTCTGATTCTGATGATTTCAGCGTGCTCTCTCAGTGGACTTGTGTTGTTAGTGTGAACAGAGAAGACTGCCAGGTCTCACACCTGCACAGGTACTCGTCCTCTGAGGATCACACCTCCACGTCTAATGACCTCACTCTTTATCTTTGCACCTGGCCTCCCTGTGGAGCTGTGCCCCTGTTATCTGCCATCAGGCCCAACATCCTGTCAGATACAAACCCCTGCAGGACTACCAGCCTTACTCTGTTTACAACTCAGCACTGTTTGGTCTTTACTGAGGCTCTGCTCACAAACTGTGCAAACAGAACTGGCGTGAACAGTTCAATGGCTAAATGTTCTCTGCCTCATGTATGGAAAAACACTCACCTGCAGTTCCACCATCCATGCTCTCAGACGGATTCGATCGGACAGAACTTCAAACTGTCACAGCTGTTGATATTATTCCCTGTAAGGCAGAAAGAAAAAGGAGGGAATCATGTTTTTTGCATCTCTCCTGTTGGCTAATGCTGCTATTAGCACACAGCTGCCCCTGACTAACTAACCTGAGCTGTAGTGTCGCAGCTGGTTCATCCCAGTGGGAGCAGAAAGGTCGTCGCTAGCTAGCTCTCAGCTTCTTAATGTTTATTCAAACCAAATCAGGGCGTTGAAGCACGATGCTGAAGCAGCCTTTCACTTTCGTTCCTCTGCCTCCCTCACTAGTGAAAGTAGCTAAGCTTCGCTACCTGGACACAACTTTAGCGCTGTGACGTCTGGGTCAGGACTTTGAAAAAGCACAAAACACAACTAACCATTCAGGAGCTCCTGCACTGCCCTTCTTGTTGCTGAAGCCTCTCCTCGGTTGCTATAGCAGACACACAACGCGCCGCCAAACACACAGGACTGAGTAAGGCATACATTAGCCCTGGGTTTAGTCTGCCAGGCTCCTACAAATGATCATCAGTCTGGCGGATTTGCACCTTATCGACCATGGGGTCTTTTAGTGTATCTTTTAAAAATACGTTTGAAGCTCGTGTTAAACGGAAAACATTAAAAGTGTGTTATAAAGCAAAAGTATGTCATCAATGTCTAGAGCCCAGCTGCCTGGCAGAATAAACACAGGACAAAATACCGTTATGTACATGCGATGCATTCAAGAACCACATTCAGTCAGAGTTAAAATATTTCTCATTTTCAGTCAACTTTCGTGTCATATTTACCCCAGTAAGTGTGTGACAAACCAGTAGAGTGGATACACGGTATATGAGTGAAAGTGTAGATGATGAGATTGTTAATTAAACTAGCAAAGAAGGAACGTTGAAGCCTTGAACGCGCCACGGCAATGTTCCGGAAGACGACGTTGCGAGAAGGTGTGTTTCCGGAAGACGTGGCTGTTGCTGCAGTGGCAGCTGTCATCCAAATTATTTAAAAGAGCACTTAGAGGTTTTTTGTTTAGTTAGAGTTCCTCGTCTGCTTCTGTTGTGTCTCCACACATTTACCTGGCGTCAGGATGATTTCGCTAACGGACTCCCAAAGTAAGAGCTTCTGCTGCGGAGGCGCTGCTGCAGTTTGCTGCTGCCTCTCTCCACCGAACCGGCTTCATCTGCAGGCAGCTGTGCTAGCTAGCAGTTAGCATTCTGTGCTAGGAAAGTTAGCTTTCATTTTTCTCTTAGGGGCTTTTCCTACAGTGGGCCAAACAGCTGAACCTGACTACTAACTCACTCCTAGCAATACCACGACTTCCAAGCAGCTTCAACGCGATTCTGCTTACACACACATTTACGTTTGTTTGTTTTCTTCATTGTTTATGTGTGTTTTTGAGAATATATCAGTCATAAATCCTGTATTTATTCCGTTCTAAGTTTGAGTGTGCGCAGGAATACAATGGCACTTTGATATGATATTTGCTTGTAAAACAAATGGTGGTGTGGACCTGAAACACCTGAACATGTAAACAGTCCAGTGTTCCTCCATAGAGCACAGGACCTTGAGTTTCACTGGAGCACACACACACACACACACACACACACACACACACAGAGACACACACACACACACACACACACACAACACTGCAGGTCTCACGTTGTCGTTCACTTCACTTTGAGTGTTCTGGAGCTAAACAGGCAGGAGTGTTAATCACTGTTAAACTAAACGTGTCTCTTCATTTTGTTGTGAAAACTCAGTTGTGTTGCTAATGTGACCTGTGTGTGTGTGTGTGTGTGTGTGTGTGTTCTGCAGAGATTGGAATGGGATTAACAGGCTTCGGCGTGTTTTTCCTCTTCTTTGGGATGATTTTGTTCTTTGACAAAGCACTTCTGGCCATCGGAAATGTGAGTATTACCGTTGGACTGGTGCTACTGGTAATGCTGGTGAATCCACAGGTGCCCCGTGTTCTCCACATGTTGCAGAATCTGGAAAGTCTCATGTGATTATATCAGTGTCACGTCCAGGTTTGTGGTGTCATAGAAGTGTGGGTTGAAATCACCACCATCAGCTCAGCAGTTACAGAATTAACTGGCTTGTTCCTCACATTTCACTCACATTCTGAAGTATTGAGCAGCTTCACTTTCTTTCTCAACAACTGGGTTTCTGTACCGCAAACAGCATTTGGTTTACCTCTCACTGTCAGAATAAGGTCAAGCTGAAAACACTGGATCCAGCTCTCATAATGCAGTTCCAGATCCAGATTCCTCCTAATTCTCAGATGTCCACGTCTTCACTGTGACACCGTCTGGGTTTTCTTCTGAGACTTGCCAAAGCTTCTTTCTGTTGGGTTTAAAAATAGAACGAAGTCTCACTAATGACTTTTGTTGCATCAGCGCTGGACTTTGGGGCCTGTTTTGAAAGTGTAATCTGTGTAACTTGTTTGTGTTTAATTATCATAAAATCAAACACCCTGCTTTGTGACTATGTATGGCTTCATGCCTCTGGGTAATTTGCTGACTTCTCTGTCGACCGTTTCAAATTTGTCATTAAGATTGTCTCATAGCACCCTCATTTTTAGATTGTTCAGTTTGGCTACATATCTATAATGTCTTCATATCTATACTTTTATTATTCATCAATAATATCAGATTACATTTCTGGCTCTTTTCCTATTATTGATATTTCTCATGATACTGTGAAAGATTTCTTTTCCTTCATTCTCTTGCAGTATCGATCCACTCGCTAATTTTTAACCACCTGCTTCTTCCCTACAGATCCTGTTTGTTGCTGGACTTGCCTTTGTCATCGGGTTGGAAAGGACCTTCCGCTTCTTCTTCCAGAAACACAAGATGAAGGCCACCAGTTTCTTCCTGGGAGGAGTGTTTGTGGTGCTGATTGGCTGGCCTATCATCGGCGTTGTGTTGGAGATCTATGGTTTTTTCCTCTTGTTCAGGTAAAAGGAAGTTATTTCATGCGGTAGACTGAAAGTGGCAAATATCTGTTTTTGTTCCTTGGTGAGTTAAAGAAAGCCACAAGACATCCAGCTCTTAATATCAGAAAAGCATGTTTCAAGGTATCCAACCATTAGCAGGGTTGATGGATCGTCAGCACTGAAATTAAATAGTCTGTCGCTGTTACTGAGGGAAGTATGTACGGGAGAAAAGAATCGGGCAAAAATGAAGAGAGAGACAGTCTCTGAGCAGAGACCAGGTTATTCTAGCACTTTCAGTCACTACCAGGCCAGTATTGCTCTCTCCAGGCTCTCCCAAATGCAGCTCAGGTGTTTTGACACCTGTTGTCAGTTATTTAATGAGGCCTTCAGCTCTTCGTTATCAAGTGGCAAATATAGTGTGAACTTTTGTTCACCTCGTTTGCATTCAGGCGGTCCTCTATCTAATGATGTCACTTGATCTAAACAACTTAAAAAGCTGCAGCAGTAATGGTGGGCGCTACAGCCAACACTACACTACAGAACTTGGTTCAGTTCCCTGCAGCAGTACCTCTGATTTATTGCAGCAAGTATGTGAGAACAAGTCGGTCTAAATTCTTCGTCATCTGTGTCATGGGAAGTCTAAGTGCTTCAGCAGAAGGGATGGACTTTTTCATTCTTGAAGACATTTCATTTCTTTTTTTTTAAAGGGATCAGTTAAAGAAATAACTTGAATCTGACAAAAATAATAATAAATAAAAATTCTATGAAAATTAACCAATGAAAATCAGACATTGCTTTTGAACTGTGGTTCAACAGAATTATTTAAAAAAATAAATAAACTCATGAAACAGGCCTGGACTAAAATGATGGTACCCTTAACTTAATATTTTGTTGCACAACCTTTTGAGGTGATCACTGCAATCAAACCATTTCTCTAGCTGTCAATGAGACTTGTGCTCCTCTCAGCAGGTGTTCTGGTCCACTCCTCATGAGCAGACTGCTCCAGGTGTCTCAGGTCTGAAGGCTGCCTTCTCCAGACGCCATGTTTCAGCTCCTTCCACAGATGTTCAATAGGATCTAGATCAGGGATCATAGAACGCCACTTCAGAACAGTCCAGTGTTTTCCTCTGAGCCATTCTTGGCTGTTTCTAGCTGTGTGTGTTTTGGGTCATTATCCTCTTGCAAGACCCATGACCTGCGACTGAGACCAAGCTTTCTGACACTGGGCAGCACATTTCTCTCTAGATTACCTTGATAGTCTTGAGATTTCATTGGACCCTGCACAGATTCAGACACCTTGAGCCAGATGCAGCAAAGCAACCCCAGAACATAACAGAACCTCCTCCATGTTCCACAGTAGGGACAGTGTTCTGTTCTTCATATGCTTCATGTTTGTGAACATAGAGCTGATGAGCCAAAACGTTCCAGTTTGGTCTCGTCTGTCCAGAGGACATTCTCCCAATGACATTTCAACAATGGTGTCCTCCTTGGTCGTCTCCCATGAAGTCCACTTTGGCTCAAACAATGACGGATGGTGGGTTCTGACACTGATGGACCTTGACCTTGGAGTTCACCTTTAATGTCTTTAGAGGTGGTTCTGGGCTCTTTTGGTACCATTCGTATTATCCGTCTCTTCCATTTGTCATCAATGTTCCTCCTGCGGCCACGTCCAGGGAGGTTGGCTACAGTCCCATGGATCTTACATTTCTGAATGATCTGTGCAGCTGTAGTCACAGGAACATCAGCTGCTTGGAGATGGTCTTATAGTCTTTACCTTTAACATGCTGCTCTGCGATGTTCTGTCTAACCTCCTGAGACAACTGTCTCCTTGGCTTCCTCTGGTCCATGTTCAGTGTGGTCCACATCATGTCACCAAACAGCACAGTGACCACCTGTAACCCTATAAACAGGCCGACTGACTGATTACAAGTTTGTAGACACCTGAGATGCCAACCAAGAACTACTAACATGCCAAAGCATTTTAAGTCATGATTGTTCTTCAGTTGTCCTCTGCATGCAAACCATAAACAGGTTCCAGAGGATTTTGTCTTTCGCTCTTTGGGCTTTTCTAAACACACGGCGTACTTGTTTGCATTCTAGTTTTCAATGAAAGGTGCCCCAGACTTCTTTCTTGTTTCTTTGTGACGTCACACAGATCATGAAGGATGACGAACTGTGATTGATCAGAGTCAGGAATCACTTTTCTGACACAGTGACCATTTTATCAGACCGTCTGAACAAGTGTTTACATGTTATCATATGTCCTTGTTAATCGTTGTTCTTCCTTTCTGTCTCATTTCACTGTCATCATATGCAGAGGTTTCTTCCCAGTGGTTGTAGGCTTTATCAGAAGAATACCAGTCCTCGGCTCCATTCTAAACCTGCCCTTCATCAGTGCAGTGAGTACTACCAGCGCTGCAGCAGCCCTGCAGCTCTGCTATGTTTACATGCAGCATGGCTCTTTTTCTTGTTCATTAATCACCCTGTTCAAACTCCTCAACCACAACAGATTAACCAAACTGCCACAATCAAATGACAGCTTAAACTCTGCACTTCACAGCTGGATTAAGTAAACTCACAGTCAGTTTGCCTGGAGTAGCAACCCACTTGCTGCCCATGTTACTCAGCTACAGACACACAATCTCAGGATACATGGTGAGGATGTTGTGGTATTTCCAACACAAAAAGGGAGTTCAATAGGGACTATCACTTAAAACCACACATATTTAGTTTGTGGCTACTACACATGCTTCTACCATGCTGTTGTGTGGGAAGCTTTGTTTTGAGGTGAATGTCTCTCTGTTTTTATTTTTTATTAAAGCCTTCGTAAGGCTCTGAGGACAATCAGCAGTCGTGGTCAGTCACTGCCGATTTTCCCTTGCATGCTAACATGTCTAACATGCCTCGTCATAGAAGGAAAACATTTTATTTTCAAGAACTTGTAATCCCTTTTATTTTGTTTTTTTCATCTTAGTTTACATATCTGGCCTTAAAGGCACACACCACGAGTAAAGGGATCAGTCTTCAGACCTAATACTTTTGAATTTATAGCAAAATACACAGTTTTATAAACTGTGGAGAACACAATTCGAGTATGAAGACCAAGTTATTGCCACTTATAACGCTGACATAAAATGTCACTTGCAACATCTTGACAAGCTAACTAGCAACATGCTAGTTAGCTCTTGAGATCCTGCCCATCACCTGTCATGGTCGCTCAGTAATAAGTCAAACTAGGATTTTTGAAGCCAATAACATAATAACGACCGATAACGTAATAAATCCTGGCCAATAGCATCATAACTTATTATGTTATTGGCCTATTGCTTTTTCAAAAGTGCTAATTTATTACGTTATTGGCCGTTAGTTATCGGCTTCTACAACACATTAGTACCATTCATGCTTTTTTACACAGGTGACAGCACACGATGGCTGTTTTAGGAGGCTGTCCAGAACTACTCTGAACTATTAGATGATGTGACACGACTAAAATGTAGCTGCTGTCTTGGCTGTTTCTCCCCACAAAGAAGATTCTGACTTCAATTTGACCAAATTAAATAAAGTAAGAAGACAGCCTCTGCCACTGGACATGAACATGATGATGTGTGTTTCTCACTCTAGCAGAGGATATTTCCATAAAGTTGAGTCTTTAATCAGCATTAATAAATCACCCCCTTGTTCATTACCTCCCATATAACACACACTCTGTAGGAAGCATCGTATTGTAATGTGTCAGCCTGTTGCGTCATCACTACACCAGCCGCTCAGTCGATCAGAGGAACTATGTAGTGATTAAATTCACACACCAGACTTTTTACATTTAAATAAAATGGCAGACCGAGTGTGGTGCACTTCTGATTTTGGACACAGACGGTAACAACTGAACTGAACGTACGACCTTCTGAACTGACTCTGACGTCATATATTGAAATCAAAATAAAAGTCTATATAAAAAACAAACCATAGACCCACAGCCAGTGCTGAGATAATATTGTAAGGTGAGCTTACGATTGGATTGATTGATTAGTTCGTAATGCACAGACAAAGTTGAACTTAATGCTTAGTAAACTGTGCATATTCGCTTTGCCATCAAATTGAAATTCAAGCAATGCCACCGTCAAATGGTGTCTGTGGGAGAGGCTTTATGGAACATTTACAGGTGGTGAAGCAAACTAATTAAAATGGCTCATTTGATGAAAGCACGCCTGCCTTATTGCAGATTCACCAAATGGAAACTTTTCAGTAGGTTGCTGCTTCCAGGTTGTTTTTGTTCGTTCCCACAGTCAAGGGGGTTTTGAAACGGTAACATACGGATAGTGAAAGGGAGGAGAACACAGCATGAAGCGCAGAGCTGAAGTGGCAGGATTATACCCGCCGTCTACGTCACAGTCAAGTCAAAGTTCTGCTACACGTGTACGCATACAGAGAACTGAAACAGCCTTTCTCTTGAACCCTCATTTAAAAAAAACACACAGTTGGAAAAAATATACATATGGTGTATAGACTACAAATGTAGTATTGTTCAATGAAGCACAGTGTAGAAATGACCACATGAGCACAAATGTCAGGATGTGGTTCTGTTTGTCCTGTTCCACTGTGGTGTGTCCCTTCAAGTCACGCATGCTCTCCTTTAGAAATGCTGCAGGATAAACAGCGCAGTCCAGCCATCGGTTTAATCACACTCTGCATCTCATTGAAAGTTCAGATCATGCTTTACACACGAGAGCTGAAAAACAACCAGATGGTCCTTAACACCATTTCTTTCTTTTCTTTCAGTATGTGGACAAAGTGGGCGAGAGCAACACCATGGTATAACAGTGACTTTTTGTACCCAAAGAATGCTGAGTACAGCAGGTTTTATAAAGCAACACAATCTCCCTTGGCGCTGATTTAAAGCAGCTAAACGTTCAGATTTCCCCCTCCAGCAGGCAAAGACTGTTTCCTGTCTGTCTGCATTTCCACTGGCCGGTGCTCCCACTCAGAGGTTCACCAGAGTGTCACGGCACCCGTCTGTTATTAAAGGATGGAGCTACAAAGGTCACTACAGTAAATATTTTGAATGCTATGGATCTCTTCACCATTGACAGCATCTTGCATGAAAGTGGAGGATGGAAGACTCCCTTGAGGCCTCATCGACTCTGTCTACATGACTGTCTTGCCCCGTGGAGCTCATATAGAAAACTGCCCACCCTCCACCAGGGTGAGAAGGGGGCCCACAGCTTGCCATGTTGTCACGTTTCTGTGCCTGTGCTTTAACTTTATTTAGACAAAAGCTTTAAAGTCCAGCATTTTGTCTCTTTGCCGCTATTCTGTGACTTTTTTGTTTTTTCTGTCTTGCAGCTTTTTGAATACCAGATGTGGAGTTGTAACAGTTCTTTTGCCACATGTAATTCCTTTCTACGGTTGGCTAGGAGGTCAATATACTTAGGTATAAATTATTTTTTAAATGACCAGTGTCTGACTTCATGTATGGTGAGGTGCTATAGGATCATACTAGTGAATGTTACGTTCTCCCCCTAAACTGTTAAATGTGAATAAAATTAAAGTCTGTTCACACCAGAATTTGGCATAACTTAAGTGCTAGACGGTTGGCAATGTACCGACGACACACGAGGCTAACCGCTAACCGTGAACTAACCGTTAACACACCGGCCAGCTGGGATCATGCTGTCCAAGTTAGCTGATTTTCTAGTGGTCGGTAACCACCTCCTGCCAACTCCAATGGAGTTTATAAAATACAAAATAAATACAAAGCTTAATTTATTCAAAAAAAAAGAAAAGAAATGGTGTTAAACATAATCCACCCATGAAATGTATTGCACCTGGATATTATTGAGGAAACCATTCAGTTGAAAAGGAATGCAGTTTCTTAAAGACTGGCTTTTAAGATGCAACACAAATAATAGGAGGCAACAGCTTCAACAACATCCGTCTGCGTCTAATCGTTCACTGAAGCTGTGCTCAGTATGCGGGCTGTGACAGAGAGCAGAGCTGCTCAGAGCACTTCAATGGCAGTGATCAGGTTTTCTGTCAAACTCTGGCTGTTTTAAAGTTGGTGTGACCGAGATTTGAAATGTGCTGCATTTAACTAGTATGTTACAAGAAACGTTAAATGTTTTTTTTTGTCCTTGTTGTTTTTTCCAGAAGCGAACTTGTTTCCTGGTAAATTTAAGCATTTTGGGGCTTTAATCCTAATCTGTGTTCTAAATTTGCATTTCTCTAAAAAATACCCTTAATGTTAACAAAACCACATGTTCACTGTCGTAGATTATTTGATGTGAGCAGCTTTATTCTCTGCAATCTGATTTCATAGCATACTGAACTTAAATGAAACTTTGAAGTTAAAAACCTCGTCTATAGTATATAGTATATGGTATCTCTGTTTTGTTTTTTGTTTTATTAAATAATATTGCCAAAGCTATAGAATTGGGACCCAAGTTGTAATAAACTGATCCTAAAATGGATTAAGACATGAAAAACACTGGTATGGTCCTTCAGAGCAGAAACATCTCATAACAAACCTGAGGGCTTCATTTCAACACTGTAACACTGTGAAGCAGCTGCAGCTTCACATGTCTGTGGACCTTCAGATCTCTGTATTTTATGTTTCATCGACTGTACCACTGGGAGATACGTGCTCCTCAACTCCTTTCTTCCTGTATTCTTTTGTCCAGAGTCCTCTGAACTCTTGCTACACAAATTTTAAATGTACAAATTCTCCTGTTTGCATTTGTTGTTGGAGAGATTTTTTTTTCCTCATTGCCAACGTCAGCAAGAGCTGAATAAATAGATTCTTCTGCTGGGGGTCTTTCTGCTGAAAGCATCCAGAAAACTGAAATTATTTGTGAAGTGACACTGTTTTGCTGTATGGCACTTTTGTAAATATACTATAGAAGTTAGCTTTGTATCAGCCAACCATGTTTTTTGTGGTCTTTCATTCGTGTCTTTACTCAGTAAAGTACAACATTCACACTTAGACCTTTACCAGCAGCCACACGTTGATTCAGGCCCACCGTTGGATGTCATACGAGCATCAAAGATGGGCTATGTAGTGAACATTCATGGATTTTTATAAGAGTCTCATCAGTTTTTCAGCGCTACTCTAAAGTTGTCAACACCTGCGTCATACCTTCACAGTACACTGCCAATAAAAGTCATGGTACGAGTTCAGATTGAGATTCAGGTGATCGGTTGATGTAAAGGCCAAGCAGTGGACTCATCGTTTAACTGCTGTAATCACCAGTAGATGGTATGAGCCTATGGAGGGTCATGTAGCCCTGTCACCACAATAATACCTGAATAAATGAGTGTAGAATCAATGAACAGAGCGCAGCAACACGTTATTAACACACTTATTGTTGGTTACTCTGATTGTATCTCTGAATTACTGACTAGTTGACATTGATATTTAACAATCCACTGTTTATATTACAATTTCTTCAATGTGCCAGCACCACCATCAGGACCAGCTGTCCAGCTGAAAACAAGAAAACACTAAATTGAAAGTGCAAAAGGCATTATCTATCTGTCTGGAAACATCACATGAACTTGATTTGCATTTGACATTAGTGGTGAATATCGATACTGTTTGTCTTGATCACCCCATGGCAAACGCTAAGCCCCTTTGTCTAGTCCTGTTCATGTTCCAGGTGATGGATGGTAGACATGGTACGAGATCACTGACAACTATGTGATCACTGAGTTAGAGAGGGTTTAGGGATGCTGGGACAATATTGCACTATATCAAAACAATGTAGATTTAATTGTGGCTCGGTGGTTAGAAGGTCGCTGGTTTGCGTCCCGGTGAGGACACCCGGGATCTTTCTGCGTGGAGTCTCCATGTTCTCCCCGTGCATCGTGGGTTCTCTCCGGATTCTCCGGCTTCCTCCCACAGTCCAGAAACATGCTGAGGTTAATTGGTGATTGTAAATTGTCCGTAGGTGTGAATGTGAGTGTGCTTGGTTGTCTGTCTCTAAGTGTAGCCCTGTGATAGACTGGTTACCTGTCCAGGTGAACCTGCCTTCATCCTGAGTCAGCTGGGATAGACTCCAGCCCCCCATGACCCTGGTGAGGATTAAGATGTATAGATGATGGATGGATGGATGTTGTTCTCTGTCACAATCCTGAGTCTGTCCACTTTACAACAAGCTGTGGCTGTAATCTCACGTTTAACGATGTGGTCCTACGATAAGAAGTGTTGGTGCATGAATGAAACATTGGGAATAATGTTTTAAAAGTAGCTTTAAACACATTTCAGCAAAGGGAATTCTGCTGTTCAGTGCTGAAACAATAAATTCCTGTTTTGATGTTAAATTAAATCACACATGCTCTCAAACTCTGACTGAATGTCTTTTTGCAAACTAACAAACCAAAAATATTTTCTTAATAACCTGCATGTTTCTTATCTAAAATCAGAAGTCTGGCAGGCAAACATGTGCAGGGTAATAAAAACAGGGAGGTACCAGAGGTCAGAAAAATATGTGACCACAAAATATACAAGCACATGACACGGCCTGTGCTATGTCCCTGAAGACAGTAACTTAGACATTCAAGTGTTGCTCAAGAGAAGCACCACTTTTCTCAAATTCAGTTCAGAATCAAAGTTTAAAGTCACAGCGTTGCCATAGCAACCAAAGTTACAATAATAATAATAACAACAATATGAATCTTAATACAACATCAAATTGATATATATATTAATTGTGTATGTATCATATGTCGTGTGAAGTGTGCAGAGAGCCAGGTCAACATCTGGGCCACAGACCCGTCTATAAAAACTCTCAGCCTGTGCAGCTGTCACTGGCGAGGGACGTTTCTATAAAGATCAAAACCAAGGTTTCTACTAGCCAGCCTGGAAACATGTATTACTGCTGCAGACTTGGACATTTTAACATTTTGGAAGCAGCTTCAAGTGGCCATTCGAGAAATAGCAGTTTTTCCACATTGCCCTAATTCCTCAGCCCCAGAGGCGCCAGGTACAACCTCCTCACCGCTACATGTGCTACCTGTCAGCCTGTAGAATGTTTAAGACACGCTGATCTGATCGAATATGGAATTAAGGTGACGGTATGCTTGAGCAGTTTAGCTGGGCGGCGGTCTAAAGGACACATTGGCTGTGGAGGTGAGGTCGTTGTTGATGTTAGTGCAAAGAGACCTACAGGTGTGAAGTAGTCTTTATATAAATCAAGTCCTTCATCTGTTTCATGAGGTTCTGCATTTGACAATACGCATGCAACAGCTGTGATGAGCATGTGACAGACTGGTATTACTGCTGAGCATTAATGAAACACAAGGCTGGACACAGCTGTGACACCTGGGCTTGTTCTCCTCTGGTTATGAAGAATAATATGCAGTTCTAACGTTACAGAGGAGTTGTTTAAAGATTATTTAAACAAGCTAAACAAACCCCATCCCATCATTCTGAATTAGTGTAGCGCCACTGCCTGTCCAGTGTTCTTGGAGTCTTCTTTAAAATACGCAGTTGTGACTGACACTATGGAGCTGCGCTGCTATGATCCATTGGCTTCTTTTTAAAGGAGCAACAGCATCAATTGATGAAGGCAGTAAAGCTGCAGTTCCATCAACCAGATGATTTTGGCATTAAAGTAAATAATAGTTTCCTTGAATTGAGTTACTGTGTTATCAGATACACATCTGCTGTAATGAACTCTTTGGTAGATGCTCTTTAGTCCATTATTGTAAATTCAAATGTTATTAAAAAAATAATCAGACAAAAGAGAGTTGGGGAAAGCAGATGTTCAATGTCTGTGTCATGTGTCAGAACAAGATCAAGGGTTAAAACTATGAGTTGGTTTATTGACATTCTGAGAGAAGCCAACTGAGTCTAACAATGAACTAAATGCAGAGCTGAGGCTGTCGTTCTCATCATCTACATGGATATTAAAGTCACCCGCCATAATGACCTTATCTGTACTGAGCACTAAGTCAGCTGAGAACTCTGAGAATTCAATAGAAGCTCAGAGTAGGGGCCGCTGGCCCATATTTAACAACTAACACAACTGGTTTTTGTGCTTTTCAATTCATTCCAAATCATTGTCCTGTGTTGTAAGTTCTGGTGAAGTCCTATTAATCTGAATTAGGTTCTTATGAACAGCCCCATTCTGTTAACTACAGAAAGAAGATGGCTCCCTTGGAAGATTGGTGAATGACAACCACAAATCTCCAAACTGTGTCATGAAAATGTTATAGTGAACGAGAGGCCCCATTTGTGTCTGTTTGCTGTGAAAAACATCGAAATAGGGACTGAACTCGATTACAACTACGGTGACTCAAAATGGCCAGTGGGTCAAAAGGTGAGCTTTTTAGATCATGCATTGTTACACTACATGATTTTTAAAGATGTTAGTTTCACTTTACACAACTTTGTCTTATAAATGAAACTGTACACAAGGTTGAAACAAGAACTTAAAACCGGGTGTGTTGGTGCCCAAAAAAATCTGCTTTACAAACTTAAAAATATTCTAATCTTCTATGTCATAATTATTACATGAAAATGCTTCATTAAGCCAGATGTCTTTGAGGACATGGATAGTAGTTAAACATAGTAGTAGAGTATTAATATGCTGTTTCAAATGCAGATTTTATGTGAGCAAACTTTTGTGACCTGTGAGTATTTCCAGACTCATGATTCCTGTCAAGTTCCTGTGTTTATGTCTAAACACCAGGGGCCTCGTGTACAAAGAGTGCGTACGCACAAAAACTTGGCATACGCACTTATTCACGCTCACGTTCAGATGTATCAGGAGTGAAATGAACGTGGAAATGTGTGGTCCTCCACAACAGCTTCTTGACTGGCGTACCCATGTTTCTATTGCTTTTGAGTTGTTGGCGACACCTAGAGGTGATGCTGGGAATATAAAAATTAAAAAAAAAAACAATGTAAAAAAAGGTAATTCCTCAGAGTGATGTGCACATCAGAGATACACAGATGAACAATTAACACACCCAGGTGTTTGCAATCAGATGAACGGATTTAAAAGTTTACGTAAAATGGTGCAGAAGATCCCGTTAACAACAACGGCAGCTTTGGACCTGTTGGAGGATTTTACCAATGGAGCAGTGCCAAGAGACCTCAGGACGACGACTGGATCATCAGCCACTTTACGTTCCCGAGGGCAATTCGCTTAGAACTGTGCGCGGAGCTGCGGCCATTATTGGAGCGCAATACGACCAGGAGCCATGCCCTACCTGTGCCCATACAGGTGCTGGCCACACTGGGCTTCCTAGGAACAGGGTCATTTCAGAGGGAGGTGGCCGACCGACCGGGATTGTGCCAGTCAACAGTGAGCAGAGACATGCCAGCCGTGTGGGGTGGAACCATCCGAATGTCAGCCAGATATATCAAATTCCCACACTGCAGTTGAACAGGACGACATGAAAGTGCAATTTGTAGTGACGGCCGGTTTTCCTGATGTAATCGGAGCTGTCGACTGCACACACATTGCTATAGAGGCACCATCACAAGATGCATTTGTTTATGTAAACAGGAAGCATTTTTTATTAAATCAATGTACAGATCATCTGTGATGCGCAAATACAATTAAGTAACATTGTTGCGAGGCAGCCTTGATCAAAACAGAGCCAGTCCAAATCCTCCAGGCAGAGTCAATTTGAGTCTTCCAGTCAGAGTCAGTTTGAGTCCTCCAGTCAAAGCAGCTTTGAAACAAATCATGGTTCTGCTGAAAGCACCTGTATGAATGAAGAGACGGTAGAGCAAACATGCACTGATGAGGTTGATCTTGAAAACCATGCATCTGTCTTTGTCAATCCAGTTATGAAGAAGGAGGATGGTTCAAGACACTATAACAAGAAGCATCACTGCTTTTACTGTACAACAGTGGTTCAAAAAATGTCGAGACATTTGTTACGTAGGCACAATGATGAAATAGACGTTA